ACATCAAAAGTAATGAAAATCAGAGTACAATCCCAGAAACTCAATGCGGAAACCATGTGTGTATGTGTGTGTGATGCGCTGCTACTCCGCCGACTCCTTCCCCTTCGGCCAATAGGTACCTAAAACCAAAACCAAAACTATAAGCACAAAGCTTAATGAGTTCCCTCATCATACCACATATCATACAATATTGTCGGTATCTTTCAACCGGTAACCTTCATCGGTATCTTTCAACCGGTAACCTTCATCGGTATCTTTCAACCGGTAACCATCATCGGTATCTTTCAACCGGTAATCATCATCGGTATCTTTCAACCGGTAACTAGGGACTATTTCACCCCTACTACTAGCATACAACAATAGATATAAGCATACAGTCAAGCATATCCGGGTACTGACTTAACCTTTGGTCCTAAGGACCACTGTCAGGGAAACTAATCCCTACTATACACATAACATATCATACAGATAAATCTCATGACCAAAGCACATAACCAGACCAAGATAATTATCACAAAGACAATCATCTTCTAAATACCCCTTTTTGGTGGGTCGGCATTGTGGCCTTAGACCCACCCCTACTGGAAGGTAACTCACCTCAATGTCGTGCAGCGTTTGAATTATCCTCGGCGCACAAGTCGACTCCCTTTGACTCCTCGATACCTACACGAAAACCTTCAAGTCAACACACAGCACATGAAACCATAAATAGGGTTAGTCCAAGTCCAGTCAAAGTCAACTTCAAGTTGACCCGACTCGCCGAGTTGGGCCGTCAACTCGTCGAGTCCCTAACCCTTTACTCGTCCTTATCCATGACTCGACTCGTCGAGTTTGGCATCGAATCGACGAGTTCCTCTCTCATATGAACATCGTATGAACCTCATCCGACTCGCCGAGTTGTATGAACACTCGTCGAGTCCACCTTCATCTGATGAACAAGTCCTGTCCTCGACTCGCCGAGTTGTATGAACAACTCGTCGAGTTCATCTCCAATGTTAAGGAGATTGCCTTGGACTCGCCGAGTCTGTTCTAGCACTCGTCGAGTCCCATGAACTCCAGGTCTAAAATTACATCCAATGCGTTGGGTCACTCTTTCTGTCTGGCTACAACCCTTCTAACACTCAACTGAGTTCTTTGACCCTCAATCAGATTTGGGACTCAAAGCCTTGGACTCGTCGAGTCCCAGGAACGGACTCGCCAAGTTGGGCACGTCCCCACTCTAAATCCTCGATTTCTGATGTACAACCTTTGATCAAAAGATAGATCCAAGCTTCTACAATTGATCTAGCATGTAAAGTTACAAACTTTACGTGCTTGCATGGGACTTTGAGCTCAAAAAGACATAAAACAAGCTCTTAAGATGCATGGGACCCTTCAAGGGTGCAAAAGCAGCCCCCAACTGCCTTGTGACTCCCTTAATGACTTGATTTAGAAGCCCCAACCCCCAACCATGTTTGCAATCATGGTTGGTCATCAAAAAAATGGCTTATAAAAGACCTAAATCTCCCCAAAGAGGGATCTAACAAATGAAAGAGCAAGGTTAAAGCTTTTTACCTTCAATGAACTGTAGAAGGTGCACAAACTCGGGTTCCCTTGGTCTCTACTCGCTTGCTCAAGCTTTTCTCCTTCCTTCTTAAGACCACAAGCACCAAAATCCACCAACAAGGCTTAGATTGCTTCAATAACGGCTAGGGTTTGAATGAGAGGTCTTCTGGGAGCATAAGGGACGTTGTGGCCGACATAACATTGTTTAAATAGGGTGCAAACCCTCGGATTAGGGTTTTTGTCCAGACAAGGTCTACTCGTCGAGTCCGGGACCCGACTCGTTGAGTCCATTGCTTAAATCCCCCGTCCCATGCCGCTTCTACTCGGCGAGTTGGTCCTCCAACTCGCCGAGTCCATGACCAAAAATGCAAAATACTTAGATAAAAATAAAAAGAAATATGTACCAAGAATCAGGTGTTACAAAGAGCATCAACATGGAAAACAAAAATTTAAGCAAACTAAAAATAAAAATAAAAAGTCACTAAAATATATTAAAAAAATAGCAAGCCAAAATAATTAAAAAGGATATCACGATCACTTGTCTTCGTTGAAATCAAGCTACGATTGTTGATTAAAACTCTTGCATGCAAGAATTAGATTCTGAAAACAAAAACTTTCGGGACCTGTCAGACTATTTCCTTTGTTTTCTTTGCACCATTAACTAAAAAGTAGAAAAAGAGTTGACCCAACTAATCAAGAGTAGCAAGAGTTTGGTCTTCCACTTAACCACCACGATACGCCTTGCTATACTAGGCATCATGGATTGAGTTGGACAAATCACCAAAGTAGTAAACTAAACAAGTCAAGAATTCCCTAATCGCTTGCAATCTCGAAACCCAATCAAAAAGTAAAACCAAGCAATGCGTACGATCATAAATTCCTGCACATAACTACAAAAACCTTCTCGACAAGTGACATGATATCAACGAAAAATAATAAAAATAAAATAAAACTAAAAATTAAAAACAAATAATGCATAATCAAACAAAGTAAATTAATTGAAAATCGTTCCCCGGCAACGGCGCCAAAAACTTGATGTGTATATTTAATGCACTAGTTTTTTATTTATAATTCATGATGTATCGCATCTAAACCACACCTTACAGATAGTGAACCCGATCGAGTAAAGTATAGCTTTGATAAGCAATGATGTTGAACATAAGGGGAACGATAGTGAATTAATTTAAAATGTTTGATTATAGGTTACACAAAACACACGAAAGCAGTAAAGAAAGGTTTTATTAAATTAAATCTCAAACAAACAACTAAATAACAAATCTCAATAAACTGACAGAATACAAATCTCTTTAGGTACCTTGGTTTAGACAAATTACATCTTAAAATCATAGATAATTGCACACATAGATTTATTTATTCATATTCACCGATTTCTAAAATGATTAGGTTCATGTTCACTATTACTAATCCTTTAGCAAACAAGTCAATTCAAGCAGTGATCAATTGATTAAACTAACAAGTTTCTTAGTGTTCAGTTCATATCAAGCAAGACTTGTAATATTAGTTAATTAAATTTAACAATTCAATAAACTTATATGTGGTTGTTCTTCACATATGATCACACAATAACTTACTTATTTTCTAATTAACCCTAGGTTCATGTTCACTAATACTAGGCATACAATCTTGTTTTCACAAAACTATATGATTCAAACAATTTAGAAGATGTTCATACAACTCAATAAACTTGATTACTAACAAAAAATAATTATCATCAACACATAAGGGCCTTTCACAAGATCAAGAAGATAAATTAATCACGAATAAAACAATATAAATAGCAATTAATCCATAAATCAAGGTTTCATTTAATCATAAACACAAAGCAAATGGTTTTAACACCCAAATCAGAAAGTAATTGCAAATAGAATCATAATGGAATGCTAATCATGTTCACGATAACAAACCACATGATTACCGACACGAATCTGCTCTCTAACCCCTTATATCTTCGCTCCTGTCAGCTTAACGGCCATCCGGCCGCCTTCTAGACCTTCAAAACGGCAGCTATGAAATTTTCTTTTTGCACAAGTCGAAGTGGAATATCGTAGATGATGAAAAATGGTGGAATGATATGGGGTATTTTAGTTGATTGTAGATGGAATTAATATGAAATATTAGGGTTGGATTTGAATAAGGAAACGAATGGTGCCTTAGGGTTTAAGCAAATAAAAATAAGGTAAGTGGTGTTTGGGGAATAACTTACTTGGAGGGAATTTCTGTCCAGCTTTTATGCTTCATCTTCAAGGCCGATTTTGGATAAGATAAAAGCCAAACTAGAAAAACGGCCCTTTCACATAAGTCGTAGGAAATTTCGTCTGCTTTCCAGAAAATTTTGAATCACGTCAATCGGACTTATGAGTCATCGGATATACCTGAAACACTGAAGAGGGATCAATCTGCCAGCGATATCCTTTTAGCGTCATTTCAGCTCCATTCTCCTCCTTTTGCATTCCAGTTTCCATTTTAACTGTAATTAAATATTTCAAAGAATATTAAGTATCTTTTAGTTCTAAATAATAAAAAAACATAGTATAAAATAATAAGAAAACATCAATGGATATAAAGACCGTTAAAATTTGAGATCGTATGAAGAAGTTATGACGTTCAGAACACATGATCTAAGTAACCAAGTAGTCGAGATCGTGATGAACATAAGCATCAAAAGGCTCAAACACCTCATTAATGATTGTCTCACGTAAGATATCATGAGAAAAACTTAAATAAATCATTATTCATAGTTACTTAAAGAAATCATTCGTAGGTATTGAAGGAGTACAAAAACAAAAAAACGACTTATTTTGCAACAAAAAGAAAATATTAAGGACTAAATATGTACAAAAAAATTAAGGACAAAATGTGTAAAAAGTGATAAATATATTATCATATTAAGTTATTTTTACCAGCTAACCTGGAATAGCTGATTATAAGGACTGAATGTGTACGGTTTATCAAGTTGAAGGGGATAAATATAGATGAAAAAAAACTCAGTATATACAAATCGAAAAATATATTACCCTTTTTTAAAATCACTATCTTTTTTACATATATAAATAAGAAGTGATTGTTTGCTTTTTGTGGGGTCATCCAAGATAATCCATTTTTACAAATAAGTTTAAAATGAGTCCACGATTTGAATATTTTAAAATCCACCCACTTTTTTACAAATGATTTCTAAAATCAACCCGTATTTATAAAAACTCTCCATGTAACATCTACTTTTGTTTCTGCAAGACACTTGTCGCAATTGAATATCGATATCAAGAAAATAGTTAACAACACACAATCACAATAAAAACGTAGAGCGTTAAATAGGATCCCTAAATGATGTGATGTGGGCTCGACAGCTGCCTGGCCACAAATCCAGAATCATTATTAAAAACCCACAATCATCATGCATATCCGACTTCCTTTTTTAAATTTTCACGCATCAAAAATCAGGCCGTTTGAAGCGGATTTATTTCCTGTACAAATTGGTCAGTTGCCTGGCCAAGTCCTGCACCTAATGCACCAATTTCACCATTTAGAAGAGGACTTGGATCTAATGAAGCATATGAAAGTAACTCTTGATTCTTCTGTAAAATCTCCATTTCTGATTCATCCAAATTCACCCATGCTTCTATACCTTCACCACTTTTCGTGTCCATTAGTGTCACAAACTTCACAAACACGGGCGCGCCCTCAGCTACAACACCTGTCACCCAAATCGGCTTTCCCCAACCAAAGTCAATTTCATAGAAACCCATCTTGCACCAACTCGAAAAACCATAGTTTTCTATGGTTCCTATCGAGCCAGTTATTTCCCCCATTTCTTGTAAAGATTTCTGCATGGCGAAAGACCCTTCATCTCCTTGTGCTTTCTCCACAAACTCAACGTTGATTTTTGAAATACTTTCACGCACCTTATTCACCAAACTGTGCAACGGTGTCTCATCGCTAGCCAAACACACAGCATTTGAGACCCAAACGATGTTACCAATCAAGTGATTCGAAAAGTTGGATTTAATTTTGGGACGAAGATTCACCCAGTGTGTTAAACTAGAAGGCTTCTGGATACCACATGCTTCATTAGTTGCAGCCATTGCACACTTCCATATCAAACTAGATACAACCTCAACTCGAGTAGGTCGTTGCACGCCGTTACTCTCTGCCCTGGCTCTCAGTCTGGCAATAGCATCCGGCCCGAATACAAACCTTTTTGTGCGACACTTGCCTTCCTTTAACAATGATTCCCCCAACACCATGAATGTGTCTCTGAGCCATGAGCCTTTCGCAGGGAAAAGAGATGGAGCGGTGAAGTTTGGATACACAACTTCTTCAGCTCCACGAGCCATGTTACTCCATGCTTTCATAAACGTGTACACTGCAGCCCCATCAAGGATTTTGTGTGAACTGCATAAGCCGATGGCAATCCCACCACATTCGAAAATGTTCACTTGCACGTTTGTTACACGATTACCAATACTAGACTTGTTAAAGCTAGGTTCACATGGCAAAAAGGTATTGATCAACCCGTGATCAGGATGCCGTAGAAATTCGTCAAGACGACCGCAGACCAAAGCTACAATATAGTTAGCACCAATAGCGTTACAATCGATAGAAAGATCGTTCTTGATTGTTCCTGCAAGTGGGTAAAACCGAGTCAAGGTCTCAGACAAAGACTTCTTTAGAACCTCTGACCTTTGTAGGGCATGATTGGAATTGTCGCCATTGTTATTGGGGTAATATAAGATGATTGGTACATAAGGACTTACAATAATCTGATCTAACGCACAAAAGTCGAATGTATTCAGATGGGATGGTGTTGGGGAAGAGGGTTTGATGTTTTCTTTGGAAATTATTTTTGTTTCCATTGCAGAGAATTATCGTTCAAGGCTAGAATAGGTAAGTAGATGGATGACAAAGGATATGCCAGACCCTATGCCATTTTATAGGTGATGAATCGTGCAGCTCTTGTGTATAGAGTAAATAATAAACAATTATTTAGGGGTTTATATTGTATGGAACTTGTATTAATTTTTTATGATTTTCTTTTTAAATTCTTTAACAATAATAGTAAGTGTTTCAACTTTATTACAATAATTCACTTTGTACAATTTTGGTCTCCTTTGGCATGCTTACTTTTAGCTTGAAATATTATCTTCATAACCTTTTAATTTGAAATAATAGACAGAAAATATATCATTCAAATCGGCTTATTACGTAAGTAGTAAACCTCAAGAATGATGATTGTGGTTCCGCTAGCAATGGAGAGGGTTCGGAGCGGATCGACCTCGATCCAAACCCATTAAGCAATTTTTTAAATGTGGATCCAAACCCGATCTGGAACCCGCAGAGTTTTACATAATAAACTCATACTCTTATCCATCGGATAAACGGATTTTTAACCCTTTTACCTTAGTCATTTACAATATTAAAATTAGGCTATAATTATGCATTACAATACATATAACATGAATCACCAAAATTAGACAACATTCATTCCAAAATAAACTTTCACATAATCAAAATTTTGTGTTGCCTATGGAGATTGCTTCAAATATTTTACGGTTTTCTGTTAGATTGTGAATAAATTCAGTAATAACTTTCAAAGCATATTGAACAACCAAGTTAAGAATATGTTCACAACAACAAACATGGAACAATTTAACATTCAAGGGGATAGAAGACTTGTCACTGTGGAAAGACTGAACTCCTCGAGTCCTATACTAAACAGTACACACTGTATTGGTGATTGATAAATGTATAACTTATAAATAATTATTAATATTATAAAATTTTGGACGGGGCAGGTCATAAACAAATCGGATCGATAGTGATCCGTCACTACTACAAAAAAAGAGCATTACCGATGTAACATCCAAAAAATACAGTCCAAAATTTTTATTTTTAAATCATTAATTAAACCAGAATTACTAAAAATCATGCATCGAAAACACAAACCATAATATCTCAAATGTCAAAACAGTATATCCCATATCAATCATATGTCAAATAAAATCAGAGTAAAATATCTCAGGCTAAAAGTTATGGTGTGTGTCATACAGTCATCCCGAGCTCTTCTCCTTGCTAGTGGAAGTACCTGAAACCAAAACTGAAATTGTAAGCACAAAGCTTAGTGAGTCTCCCTAAACTACCACATACCATACACATAAACACATAATAGCATACATTGGGCATTGCCCACTATATCGGGCCCCGCCCGACATCGGACGAATCTGGCATCGGGCTCGGCCCGGCATCAGGACCCGCCTAGCATCGAACTGAAGTCTGGCATCGGGCCCCGCTCGACATCGGACCGAAGTCTAGTATACATATAACATATCAACAAGCATATAACATAAACATATAACATAAACATATAAGCTAAACCTTCATCGGGCTTGCCTTTGCATCAGACCGAAGCCCAGAACCTATAACACGTACATACAAACTAAATATTCCTCGGGCTTGCCTCGACATCGGACCGAAGCCCGGAACATATAAACAAACACATGCAAGAATCAAGAAGACATCAAGCATATAAATATTCCTCGGGCTTGCCCCGACATCGGACCGGAGCAACATATAATCTACATCAGGCTAACACTGACATCCGACCTAAGTCCGACATATGCTAACATACATAACTGGGCCAACATTGGTACCTTCGACTCGCTCCTACTGGAGGAAAACTCACCTCTCAAGCTGGCAGGTGAAATCTCGAGTGAGGAAATCTCTAATGGCTACTCCAACGACTCCCCAACTATTATTATCACAAGAAACACTTAATCAAAAACTGTGAATCATTCTAAGGGTAAAATGACCATTTTACCCCTAGTCAAAGTCAACATTCTAGGTTGACCCAACTCGGCGAGTTGCTCCATCAACTCGACGAGTCCTAGAATGCTGAAATCGCGATCTAACTCGTCAAGTCACTTCCCTGAATCTCCGAGTTCCCTGGCTACTCATAGTTGCGATTTGGCGAATCAACTTGTCGAGTCCCTTCACAAACTCGTCGAGTTCTACCTTAAACCGAATCGGGATAATCACGACTCAGCTTGTCGAGCTCCTCTATGGACTCGACGAGTTCCTCTGTCTGTTAGGGTCATCTTAACAGATTAAGCCTCTACTCTACAGATCCAAGGTCCACACCTCTTCTACTTACTAAAATGCCCTCTTAAGGGTAAAGTTTCCAAATTTACCTGCTAAAAATCCTTCTTAATGGGTTTAGCTAAAACCCTAGTTCTTTAGGACATAGATTGTTGACCAAAAGCCTTATTACTCCAACCCAAAGCATGAAAACCGAGATCTAGCTCCTAGACACCAAATAAACATGTAAACTCTCAGAATTTACTACCATACATGGCCTTTTGAGGCTTAAAAGGCCATAATAGCGTCTTAAAACTTGCATGGGGATTCCATAGTCATAAAGTTTGCACCTTTATGCCATGAAATCCCTTCTAGATCCTAGATCTGAAAGGTAAGTCACTTGGGATGTCCATTTCCCAAGGATTGAGATCCTTGGACCAAAAACCCTCATAAAGTGTAAATAATGAGATCTAATAAACTAATAGACAAGTTAGAGACTTGATTACCAGAAAATGATGAGGATGAAAGGAAATCTCTGGATCTACTATCTTCTTCTTGAACCTTCTAGCTCTATCTTCTTCTTGAAGCTTCAAGAATGTAACACTCAAAATCCAGAAGGCGAATTAAGGAAAGAAAAACCCCAAGTCAAAAGGTCTACTCGTCGAGTCCAAGGAGAGTAACTATGTTAGATTAGTGTCTAAGCCCGTAATCATATTTGGTAAGTACTTGACCCGGTTGTGCATGGTCCTTTTGGGTTGCCTTTACCAAAGCAACTTGACTAGAGAAATGATAGAGAAAGAGGTTATTATGCTTTATTAATATATTATAAGAATAATATATTAAAAGAGAAATCATATTTATTTAGTTGACATTGGTCAAGAATTAATTAAGAATTAATTTTGTGATTAAAAGAAGTTAACTAAACAAGGGGGGCTGAATTGTAATTATGTGATAGTTACAAAGTAGGGCGATGGATGCCCTATGGGATAGGGCGGACGAATTCAAGGGGATAAGGCCCTAGAAGTCGTCCATGATAAGGTTTCTAGGGTTATCCTGTGGACTCGTCGATCATGGAGTCCAATCCCCATCATCAACAACAACCCTGGCCACCTCAGAACCCTCCAAACCCGCTGACAATAAGCGGAAGTTCTGGGATGAAAAGAAGAAACAAAGAGCTACTAAAAAGCAGAGAGTCGTGGCTTTTCATGCTGCGATCGAACCTACTGCTACTGGTCCGGTGAAGCAGTACGCTGGAAGTTTGCCAAAGTGCAACAAATGTAACTTCCACCACAACGGCCCCTACCGAGAAATGCAGTGCTCCAACTGCAACAAGAAAGGACACACTCTTCGTTTCTGCAAATCTCCGGCAAGGCCGATCACCCAAGTTCCCGGCACTGGTGTGGGCCAGGCTTGTTACGGATGTGGCGATGTGGACCACTACAAAAGGGACTGCCCCGAAGCAAGAAATGTCGGTGGAGCGGGAAGGGTTCTGGCTATAGGCCAAGGTGAAGCAGTTGCTGACCCTACGGTGATAACTGGTACGTTTCTCCTCAAAAACTCTTATGCATGCATATTGTTTGATAGCGGAGCAGAGAGAAGCTTTGTGAATAATAAGTTTGCTCGCCTACTTAAACAAAAACCACGCACACTTAAGGAACCATTCACTGTAGAAATGGCAAATGGGAAAACTGAGAGCATAAATAGCATATACATAGGATGTACCCTAACTCTAGGTAACCATTCATTTCCAATCGACCTCATGCCGGTCTCGATTAAAAGCTTCAACGTCATCGTCGGCATGGATTGGTTGAGTCTTCATCGCGCCGACATCATGTGCTACGAGAAAGCAGTCCGTTTAAATCTTCCGACTAACGAAACTCTCATCATCTACGGCGACAAACCCGACATGAGTCTTCGTATCATCTCAAGTATTCAAGCACATAAGTATCTACGTAAGGAATATCGTGCATTCCTTGCTCACGTTGTCGATACGAGCCTAGAAACAAAAGAACTAAAGAACATTCTGGTAGTGATCGACTTCCCGGACATCTTTCCAGAAGAACTACCAGGATTACCTCCGCAATGACAGGTCGAGTTCAGAATCGACTTAGTCCCAGGAGCTACCCCAGTAGCCAAATCACCCTACGATTAGCACCAGCTGAGATGTAGGAACTATCTGGTCAACTTAACGAACTACTCAGCAAGGGCTTTATTAGGCCAAGCTTCTCACCCTGGGGAGCACCAGTCTTGTTCGTTAAGAAGAAAGACGGATCATTCCGTATGTGTATCGACTATAGAGAACTCAACAAACCGACGGTCAAAAATCGTTACCCTCTGCCTCGCATAGACGATTTATTTGACCAACTGCAAGGGGCGAGTTACTTTTCCAAAATCGATCTAAGATCCGGATATCACCAGTTACGAGTGCTAGAGGAGGATGTTCCAAAAACAGCCTTCTGAACTTGTTACGGACACTACGAGTTCGTGGTAATGCCATTCGGATTGACCAATGCGCCTGCAGTGTTCATGGATTTAATGAACAGAGTATGTCGACCTTACTTGGATCAGTTCGTCATCGTCTTCATTGATGACATCATGATCTACTCTCGAAGCAAGGAAGAGCATGGCGATCACCTGCGTCAAGTTCTAGGAACTTTACGAATGGAGAAGCTCTATGCGAAGTTCTCTAAATGTGAATTTTGGATCCGAAGAGTCGAATTCTTAGGACACGTGGTTAGCGAAGAGGGAATCCACGTGGATCCATCCAAAATTAAGGCCATTG